CCCCAAAACCCCAAAACCCCAAAACCCCAAAACCCCAAAACCCCAAAACCCCTGTCCATATGGAAATTAATGAAATATTCAATTTTAATATCTATTTTCTGCTATTTATTGAAGCAAGAGACTTGCTCATTGGGCTCTTACCAAGAATATTAGCTGATCCGTTGCCATAGCTATGAATCGGAGCGTTATCAAGTGATTCCCGGAGATTAGCCCTACTATTCATCCCCTGTGCACAGTAACGATCACTCCTGTGGAGATTGGATTTAATAGAGTCTGAGGTCTTGAGATTTTGGTATGATACTCTTTTTGAAATTAGCCTATTTTCCTTTGACATACTATGAGAGGTTTTTAAGCTTTCAATTATTCTCTGTCTTGCTTTGTCTTTCTCCCCTGTCATATTTATCTGATCCCAGACACTAGGTCTAATAGAAGAGGAATAATTGTCATTAGATAGGTTAAGACGCCCTTGGACTCTTCTTTTCAAATCCCTTGCTTTAGATTCTGTGGGAAGCTGGTATTGGGAATTTAGAGATAGAATGTTGTATCCTCTTTCCAGTTCCTTTTCCACCTCAAAAGAGAGCTTATTCTTAGGTAAATTTTCAATACTAGCGTTTCTTTGTCTGTCGATATGCTTGATATTCTTATCAAAAGCATATCTTGCTAAAAATTTATTTCCTCTGTTATTTCAGAAATTTAGTTCTTTTAGAGACCTCTCTGTTATAGTGATTCATTGCTTTATTATCTCTATAGTTCACATCACTTATTGTAATGGTATGATTAGCATCTATTTCAGGTCTCTTCCTATGCCTAGTGGGCATTGAGAAATGGTTAGTCTCGTATTTAATAGGATCATAAGCGCTTTTAGTATTCTTTTGACATATATCCTTCGGATTTAGGTACTTTATGGCTGGAGGCACTTGGTGCTCATCATATACTTTTCCTCCATAATCATTTATTTTCACCTTAAGAAAGTTCCGGCTTTTCCAAGAGGTCTTCTTGCTATTCGCTTCCCTTGCAGCAGAAACAGCTTGGGTTGAATTAAATTTGTGAAGAATTGGATTGAATGGCATGTCTGTGAAATTAGGCCTGCTCATCATTTTATTATACCGTAAGGCTATCCCTGTATCATCATTGCTACTGCTTCTAGGAAACATAAGAAAATTATTCAATTAAAATAATTTTTAAAGGGGTTTTGGGGTTTTGGGGTTTTGGGGTTTTGGGGTTTTGGGG